ACTCCATGTTCGATGGCGTCCTTCACGCAGTCCCCTCCTCCCCAAACAAATCTAGAGTTTCTCTGCCTTCCGCCGATGCCGCCGTTGGTCCACCTCGTCTTCGGTGGCCTTGAGGCCATGGCGACATGATGGATCCCGACACTTGCCGGCAGGATGTTTTTTCATATGTTTCTTCGAGTTTTGTTAGGGTTTGTGTCCTATATTCAGAAAGACGAGACGGTGATGGCTCTCTGAAGATTGAATAAGGGTCTCCCCGCCTAGCCCCCCGTTCCGGTTGTGCATCTAGCATCGTCGGTGGGCGTGTGGAAGTATGTCTTTGGCGGAACTGTCCTTGGTGGATTAGCTCGGATCTGGTCGTAGTTTGTATATGTTCATGTGTCTTCAGGTTGGATCCTTACGATCAACACTGCTCTTCAATGTTGGCGGTTGGTGTTGTGGTGCGTTTGTCCTCTGGGGTATTAGCACAACGACTTTCCAAACAAGTCTTGCCTGGCTTCAGAGAGAGAGGGGTGATGATGGCGGCGCGTCTTCAGCTCGCTTCAGTGCCCGTAGTCATTGCCAGGTGGTCTATGAATTTAGGTGTTGTTTTTATTATGTTTGGTGGTCGTTATACTGTCATGATTGGAAATGGATAGATCAGAAGTTTTTCCAGAGAAGAAAAAATAAGCCTTAAAAGAGGTATGTTTCTCACCGGGTTGCATTATTTTCTTTTTCTACTAATTTCGCACAAAGGAAAAAAAAGTGGATAACTCATCCATATTAATGTTTTGAACTTTTTTCCCTAGAAAAAAGAGTTCGCCAAGCGGAAGTCAAAATGTTAGCAAAGCGCGCGGGCATTCCAGATTTTCCCGCGAAAAATAAAAATAAAATTTAGGAGCCCCGCGGGTTCTTCCTTTTGGCCAACCGCACCCTGCGCCTTGTCCGGTCACTCCCAACCACCTCGTCCTCTCCTATGAAAGGAAGAAAAAAAACTCCGCCTCAACCCTCCCGGCCGGCCCGGCGGCACCAGCTCTCCCAGATCCGCCTCCGCCTCCGCCTCGAACTGCCGTCCCCTCGAGACAGCACTGCCGCTCCTCTCGCCTATCTTCGTTGCCTTCCTGCTCTCTGCTCCAGCCGCTCTAGAACCACCTCTCCTAGATCCCTGCACCACCTACCCTGATTCAAGTCTCTGAATCCCGCCTCCGAGCGCCGCCACTACCCTCTATCCTCGACTCCTCCGACGTGCGTCTCACTCTCAGCTCCATGGATGCCCTCTCCCTCACGATCTGCGTGCACCGCAATATACTCGTTGCGCGGAGTGGGTTCTTCACCGCCAAGCTCTCGGACCGTTGGTCCAATCAGCGGTGGACATTGTCTCACATCAACAAGATCTCCGACTACAACAACGTGGAGGTATAGGTCGAGACTCTGCGCCTCATACGCTGCAAGGATCTCACAGGAGGCTGATGAGGAATGTACGACCCATTCATTTTCCTTTAGCAGATAGACACGGCGGCGGCTCCGTTCCCTGCTCGACACCTCGCTGGTGCTGACAGACGCACTCTGTGTCGCTGCAGCAGAGCGGCGCCAGACACAATTCCCCACCTTGGCCGCCCTCACTCTGCTTAACACAATTCGAAACGGTTTTTTGACTTACTAAAACCGGTAGTGCGGGTTGATTTCACGGAACTATATGGGGTTTTCTGTAAATATGCACGACGGACCACCAGAAGCATTAGGTGCTTTATTATTATAAAAAAAAAATTAAATTAAAAAAAGGGAAGAAGGGGAAGATAAAACTGTGGCTAATCCCAGCCTCTCACGTCCTTATCATTTATAGCCGTTCGTTTTTGTGATCAATTAGTTTCTAGCCGTCTGATCTCCATCAGCGAGAGAGAAATTTGCTCTTTTGGCGCTCGTACAGAGGATTCAAATGAAAAATGAGAAGACCCACCGAACCACCCAAGCCCAGCCCAGCCCAGCCCGCTGTCTTTCTTCCTCTACCCCCGATTCCCTCGTCTCCCGCCGCCGCCGCCGCCCCCGCACACCGGCGACCTCGCTCCCGGGCTCGGCCCTCTCCCCACTGCAGCCGCCCTCCACCCCCACTCCCTCCTCCTCCCCTCGCCTTCTCCCCCAGATCGAGCAGCAGGTTAGGCGGCGGCCAGATCCGCCACGGTGCTTCAGGATCCGCGCCGTCATCACGCGAGGGAGGTCGGCTGCTTCTCCCCAGTCGCTCGCGCGCCAGGAGGGAGCTCGCTGCGGCTCG